CCTCCACTTCATCCATCCTACCCCAATACGGTGTGTGACATCCTCGCCGATCTCCCCTCCCCCCTAGATAACCGACCCAAGGTGCTTGAAGTTGCATCTACTTGGGATGACCTGTGAGTCAAGCCTCACATCCACGCCCACTTCCCCTGGCTCAGCGTTAAACTTACACTCCAGGTATTCCGTCTTCGTCCTGCTCAGCTTGAAACCCTTAGACTCAAGAGCATGTCTCCAAATATCCAGCCTCTCGTTAATACCGGTACGCGACTCATCAATCAGAACTATGTCATCGGCGAATAGCATGCACCATGGCACCACCCCTTGAATATGGTGTGTTAGCGTGTCCATCACCAGGGCGAATAAGAACGGGCTGAGCGCAGAGCCTTGGTGTAACCTCATAACAACCGAAAAATGCTCAGAGTCGCCTCATACTGTCTTTACCCGAGTCTTAGCCCCATCATACATGTCTTTAATCGCCATAATGTAGGGAACCGACACACTTTTTACCTCTAAGCATCTCCAAAGAACTTCCCTAGGAACCTTGTCATATGCTTTTTCTATGTCAATAAACACCATGTGCAGGTCCTTCTTCCTATCCCTGTACTGTTCCACCAACCACCTAACAAGGTGTATAGCTTCTGGAGTAGAACGACTCGGCATGAACCCGAACTGGATACAGATATCGACATCTTCACCCTCGCTTCAACCACCCTCTCCCACACTTTCATGGTGTGACTAAGTAATATGAATAAAGAACAAAGAGAAAAGAAATCAATAAATGAAAGACAAGCCAACATTACCCCATGATTCATAAAGTCCCCTGTTTTTAAAGCATGTCTTCTTGTGCGTAATGTCCAATAGAAGCAAAGATGCAGTTTTGTTTTTCTAAAGGCTTCCTATAGGTGTTTAACGGGTGGGCGGGGCCGGTCCGGGTTGAGAAAAAAGGTGACCGGCAGATTTCGAATCCGGGCCGGTTACCGGTTTTTTCAAACTGGGTTTAACGGGTCCGGGTCCATCCAGGTTAAAAATGAACCGGAAGGGTTACGGGTCCAAGGGACCGGGCCGGGTTAGTGTTTTTTTATTTTTATTTTGTATAACTATCGTAATTTATATTAAGATAACGTAAAAATATTAAACACAAAAACAATTTTATAAAAAGAGTGTTTGAATAAAAGGATGCAAAGGCTTTAAAATCTTTATATTTGAAAATTTTGAATATTTCATTAAGAATTTAAGATAATAGAATACAATAAAAATGGAAAAAAATTGCACTTATAATTTGGAGGGAGTGCACCGAATTCGGCAATAAGCCAATAAATTGAACACTTGATGATTTCGCAACTTCAATGTTACCATGAAGAAACGTCAATTGTTCAAACTTCAAATAATAAATAATACAATAAATTAAATTCCAAAAAAATGAGAGCCAAATAGTTGATTGCACTTTAGGTGAAGAATGAAAAAATGATAATTGAGAATATGAGTTTGAGAAATGAGAGATGAGCGAAGAAATGAAGAAAATGGGGTGTATTTATATTTTTTCAAAGGGCTAAATTAGTAATTACAAAAAGTGTTATTTTTAAAAAAAAATTGCCCAAAAAAGGGCTATCTTTGCAATCCACCCGTTGGGCAACGGCCAAATTGAAGTTGACCGTTTCCAACGGTCATATCACGTAAAAAAAAAAAAGATTTATAGCCGTTTAACTGGTTCAACAGTATTTTTCGTTGACCGGGTTTGACCGGTCAGGTTAACCGATTTTTTTTTAAACGGACCAACCCCCCTAACCCAGCCCACCCGACCCCCTAACTACTGAGCCGGTCAGGTCCGGGTTACAACTGGTCTGGGCCAGTCCGGAAACGGGTCAACCCGGCCCGTTAAACAGGCTTAAGGCTTCCCCTATTTAAGACAGCTATATGCGCCACATCAGCATGTGATCCACATTTCTGGCCTCTTTTTACTCCTGCTAAAGCTTTGTTGAATGCAAGGTATGTTTACCCTAATTGTATGTTTAATCTTCTTTATGACAAGTAAAGGATGAATATTATCGTGAATCATATGATTTGTTTAGGTAGGTGAAAGGAGGAAGGATGGAGAAACAAAAGAGGGAGTTAAGGGTTATTTCTTTATTGATAAGTGAAAGAGGGCAGGAAGCAAACATAGAAATGTATTTTAGCTTTTTCAGTCATTCTGGAACTGGTTCAGGAGGAGGAAATATAAATCTTTTACTTCCCTTCCAATCCTACCAAACAACTAGAAACAAATGATGAACACATCACCAAAGGGAAATAAACCGATGAGCTTCTCATCTTTTGACCACCTTCCACTCCCCTTGGTGGAACCAGATGTGCTGCAAAATAAACTTGAATTCACCTTTTTTTCCCCCAAAAAACATCATCATCATGAACTTCTAAGCTAATCTCTGCTTTGAAAACCTACCTCACAACTGGTGATCCAAATGAAAAGCTAAATTTAGGAAACAATATATTCAGGGGGACAAAGTAGCATGGACGACCTCATATGTGGAACCTAACAAGCAAAACAAAAAGTTGTGTACGGCACGTGGGATAAACGTCACGCTTTTATCAGTGTAAAGGTACAAAAAAGGGACAAACTTGAACTAACCTCTGCTTCAGGGAAGACAGTTTCACCTCCTTTCTCGACATCACTGAGATACATGAGTACCGTGGCTAACCGGTGTCCACCACGAACAATATTAACCTTGTCGGAGAAGTAATCATAGTGTGGCTCATATTTCTGCCCTTCCTCGTATCTTAGAACTTGTATGTCTTCTCCATTCTCTGGCAAAGAGAAAAAAGAAATATCCATCAAATTGGAACACATAGACATAACTAGACCTTAATAAGGGAGTGAAGAAAGCATCCAAAGCCTGTGAAAGTGAATTTTGGAATAGATTTGATTTCAAGAAACCACAGCCAAAACTAACAAGTCCTCCAAACAGTGCTTTCATTCTTTATCTATCACCCTATTAACATGTTGATGTTACTTCTTATTGACACCATGAATTGTTCGATCTTCAGTTTCTCCTCTTTCAACCAGAGAATCGCCTTATAACATATTTCTTTAGTACTCACTCTGATATGGTAAGACAGAAATTTCAGAAGTTTAAGATGGATAATTCAACTGTATTGCACAAGAATTAGACAGTATAAGTCAATAAAATTAATACTCAGCATCTCTGAGAGCAGAAGGCAGATGAGAAGTGAAAGTCTTCAATTTAAGAATATAAAAAGATGAGAAGTGTAAGAACTCTTGCAATATCAGGATAATGGATAATATTTTTTCTTGGACAAAGCAGAATAACCAATTATAACTAAAAGAAAAGAGAAACAGAAGGAATAACTTGGAAAATTATGATCTTTTCCTTTCTTTGTTTCTCCTACCTGGCGGCCCCCTTTTAACATCGTCATATCATGCAATTGTTTCTTATAAAAGCTTTTCCAAAAGATTAGTAAAGTTTCATAAAATTCCAATACTCGATTTGTTGAAGGACTGATGACACGGTTAGTGAATTGATCAATTAGTTATGTTGAATCAATTACCGCCAAATCTTTTCTTGACGTCCGTACGAATAGCTATAAAGTCAATATTTTTTGTATCAGACATACTTTAAATGGGAATTGAGGAGAGTCTTCAAATAGCAACTAATTGTGGATGGGTTAACAATCCTAGACTGTGATATCCTTCAGGGGAAGCCAGACCTTTTGGTAGAAAAGCCCAAGTCGCTATCTTGTCCTCTATCCCAGCAACAATAGGATCCTGCAGCCCCAAAAGAAAAGGCAAAATGAAGAGCTGACACAATTAAAATACAGAAATGGAATATTGTATTATTGAGTATGCAGCAAATGGTTAGTCATGCTTCATGATATCGTGAGTAAGCAGCAATCAATTAAAACTATTTAAAAAATGAACGTGAGAAATACTCTACAGCATTTCTTTGATATGTCAAAATCAAAGAAATTCTGCGGAGTATTTCACACGTTGTCTCCGTGTGACCTATAGGTCACGGGTTCGAACCGTGGAATCAGCCATTGAATCAGGCTAGGCTGCCTACATCATACTCTCTTGGGGTATGGCCCTCCCCCGGACCCTGCGCGAACACGGGATGCTTTGTGCATCGAGCAGTCCTTTTATTTCTTTGATATGTCATGCTGAATACTCTGGATTATAGAACTGAATATGGTTATCCAAATAAACGATCATCAAATAATCAATGTTACATAAATCATTTTTATAAGAGTCATATGTGGGCATCACTTAATTATTCTCATTCACAAAACCAATCAATCAGAAAAAAGTCATTGATATCAAGTATAAATTCCAAACCAAACAGGCCCTAAATCTGGTTTCTGAAAGAGTTTCTTTTTCTCTGTGCTTGTCGACTATTGACATCTCGGTAGCTTTCTTTTCCCTGGAGCATGTTAAAATTCTTTACAGCAGATCAGGTTCCTCTTATGTATTAGTATCAACAATAGTCTCCCAGTCAAACCAGAAACAAGTATAGGTAAAAGCACAAAATTTTGCTTTACTTGCTCACACATCCAGAAGATGAAAGTAGCAGAGATGAGGATGTTGAGGTGGATGTGTGGGCACACTAAGATGGATAAGATTAGGAATGAAGATATTCGGGAGAAGGTGGGCGTGGCCCCCATGGAGGACAAGATGCGTGAAGCAAGACTCAGATGGTTCGGGCACATTCAGAGGAGGAGCACTGATGCACCGGTGAGGAGGTGCGAGCGACTGACTGTGGTGGGCACGAGGAGAGGTAGAGGGCGGCCCAAAAAGTATTGGGGAGAGGTGATCAGGCAGAACATGGCGCGACTTAGGATTACTGAGGACATGGCCCTTGACAAGGAATTGTGGAGGTCGAACATTAAGGTTATAGGTTAGGAGGAAGTTGTGAATAATTCCACGGCGCACCAGAGTGAGACTAGCCAGTTAGGATTTAGTTCTAGGATGCAGGGCTTTATCTACTGGTTATTGTTGTACTTTCCATCTGTTTCGTATTTCTTATAGTGCTTATTTTATTATGATTCTATTGATGGTACTAATATATCGTCTCTTGTTTCCTTCTTGAGCCGAGGGTCTCTTGGAAACCGCCTCTCTACCCTTTGGGGTAGGGGTAAGGTCTGCGTACACATTACCCTCCCCAGATCTCACTAATGGGATTACACTGGGCTGTTGTTGTTGTTGTTATTCTTGACCAGATCCGGCCCGTAATTTGACGCATATCTTATATTTTTCAGGATAAACCATTAGTATATCCCAAATCCCCATTTGATTTTTACAAACAGCTCATAACTTTGACTTAAATTTAGTGCTTTTATTTGGGCGAACACTGGCAAGATTATAACCTTTACAATCTGTTTAAGATTGCAGCAGAAAGGTTCGATTTGACATTACTATGTGAAGCTTTCCTATTAGGTTAGCAAAGGACTCTAAACACATTGCAACAGATACATGTAATAAAATCGTAGACCTTCCGAACTAAGTGCATTAATTAACCTACCTCCTATCAGTTGATAGTGGCCTAGCTGTTGACAATTGCAGGTTCATCCAGCTTAGAAACATGTCATACACCAAAACTAAGGATGGTGGAAGCAGAAATAATTAACAAATAATTATTTATTGCCTAACCAGAATTTCAAATTATCCTCATGCTTCAGCATGTAATTTTTGCTCATTGTGCACAAGATCACATCAACGCCATCTTTCTAATCTCATAACAATATCATGTCTTAACAAATGAATCAGAATGCATGAAAAGTCAGCATCGAAAATGTGGGAAACATAGGACGTTCAAAATACAGCAAATGGGGTCTATAGCCTGCTGACATTTAAATTCTAATATTACTACATGCCTAAAGAGAATTCTGATACTGAACAGAATTTTAGGATTCTGATGTTGCAAGAATTTGACAAAAGTAACAACCCATTAACTGATATTTGCCAAAGAGAATGCAGCAGCTGCCCACCGGGAGCAGCTTGCTTTTCATTCTTCCAATGCACCTGGAAGAGCTCACTGCTCTTCACAAAGGCATGCCCTTTTTCAGGTAAAATTGTATGTGAAAAAGACATTTGGG